GCCTCTGCACTGTCTTTAAAGCACCCTGGACTCCAGTGCGTGGTCATGGTTGAGAACTGCTGTCCTAAATAAACACCAGGTAAATAAATCTCTCCTTCTGTAAGAATAAACAGAGCAAGAAAAGTCACCAAATTAAAAAAAGCTACCGCAACACCAAACTATTGAGACACCTGGAGGAAACACAGAAAAAGGTTAGTGAGAGGGAGTTCTTAAAAAAAAATATTTAACTTTTATTATAGCATTCTTTAAAAAATTAACGCATTGTTTGCTCTGAAATGCCATTCTCAAGGCAATTATGGTTTTCATTCTTCATCTGATGATAAAAACATGGAAATATTTCAAAGTGAAATTGCCTATTTGCCAAACATACATTTTAGCAGCAGCACTGTTGTCTTTATCTGAAGAATAATATTTTTTTCAGTTATTTGAGAAACTATTTTCATTTGGACCTGATTAATTTAAAAAGTGGAAAGAGAAAAACATAAAGTTACCAAGTCATAGGCAGCACAACTATATGGAATGAAACTCAGGCCAAGATGGAACTATTAATTGTGCTTAAAGAGATGAGTCGTTAGCCTCAACTAATGATTAGATAAACACAGTCAACTGTGTGAGAAACTGTGAAGAAAAATAAGTTTAAAAATTAAAAATAAGTTTAAATATTTAAAATATGCTTTTGAGTTACTGAGTTAAGGCTAATGTCAGGAGAAATTTTAAATGATATATTTGGCTCTCTGAGAACTTATAAAATGTAAGCCTATCTTCTCAAATTATACATATTTAACTTGTACATGTTTTCAGGAATGCATTATGTATGACATTAACAAACTGGGTAAAATTCAAGGAAGCAGAAAAAAAAATAGAAGATAGCATTCTAAAGACTATTTTAGGCAATGACACATGAATTGAGAGTAAGGAATTTATTTGAGAGATAATACCAGGAAAACACTGAGAGGGAGCAGGGAAGTGAGACGGGGAACGAAAGGAAGCTGTAAAGTATGTACTATCTGGTCGCCTGGGTGGCTCAGTGGGTTAAGCATCTGACTCTTGATTTCAGCTCAGGTCACGATCTCACAGTTCATGAGTAAAAGCCCCACATCAGGCTCTGTGTCGAGAGTGTGGAGCCTGCGTGGGATTCTCTATCTCCTGCTTTCTCCTCCCCTCCCTGCTCGTGCTCTTTGTCTCTCTGTGTCTCAAAAATAAATTAACATTAGTAGTATCAAGTATGTCACTGCTGTAGTCAACTGAGGTTGATCACTTTGGGGACTCTGGTATAGAATATATCCTTAGAGTTTTCCCACCTGAGGAACAAGGGGGTGGATGTTTATTTACCAGTAAGGGCTGCTGCCGGGGGCATTCATCCTTTGCACTCAGATCCTGCTCCAGCCACTGGGCAAGGAGAATGGAACCACCCTCCCTAAATCAAAGAGCCACATGTACGGGCCTTGGATAAGCACAGAGAGAACATAAGTGGGCTGTGACAGCATCTGCTAAAAGTGTGTTTGGAGATAAAACAGAGCAGGGGTCAGCAAACTTTTTTGTAAAGTACCAGACGGTAGATATTTTAAGTCTTGCGTGCTACATATGGTCATTCTCACATATTTTTCTTTTTCCGATTTTGTCTAACTAGTTAAAAATGTAAAAACATTCTAGCTCATACAAAAACAGGTGTTGGACCACATTTGGCCCACAGGTTATAGATTGCAGACTTTTGAAATAGAGAATAATTTTTTAAGACCAAAACTAAATGAATAAATTTTCTAAGATGAAGACAATCTTTGCATGAAAACATTTATTTTGTGTTGTTTATATAATACACTGAAATAAAATGACTACCTTAGAAAAACAGTTGTGCAGACCTATCAATCAAAAACAGATCTAGGACAAGAAAGAACAAACAAAGTAGAGTTTAAGGCATTAAAGATGATGAGTTATTTTATATTCGTAATGCAGTAATGTAAATGTAAAATCCTCAGTGAAGACATCGTAGGCGCAGTCTTTAATTTGACAAGTAAGATAATAGCAAAGGACAAAACAAGACAAAAAACAAAACTGTTGAAAATACAGATGAACAAAAAAACATTAATGTGGTGGAATTTAATTCATTATTCCAAATCTTCAATATATCAAGTATTAACAAAATTCAAAAGAGTATGAAAGAACAGGGTTATTAAGTTATAAGAAAATAGTGGTTCAGTGCATAGCTTCAAATTTTCAAAAAATATTAACCCAGTTTCAGTGAATTAACCAGCTGTGATCCCTGGCCCTAGTCTACATAGTGAATGACACAGGCAACCTCCAATTCCCACTGGGCACCTGCCTCTCAGGGCACAGTATTCTGGGAACTTACCTACACTCACTAAATTAAGAAGACTTCTCTGGTCCTGAGGTGTCAGTGGGCCTGGCAACCATGACATGTAATATTTCCCTAGGTCTAATTTTTCACTGAGGCCTCTAGGTTCTGCTTGAGGCAAGAGGCTATTTAGTCAAAGCCAGAAAACTCATAGCTATCCTTTTCTTTAGGTCTTTTTATCTTTTTTAGCATCAGACAGACAGCGGGATATACTTCCCTGTTTGAGGAATCCAGGGACTTCTCTTTCCCCTTTCGCCCAGGCTCCAATTATCTCTTTCATCTAGAGGAATCTGTCCACATCTATTCCAGCCTCCTTACAGACACTCACTCTGTCCTGAATCACACCTGGATATTCAACATAATCTGATCAGGTTTAAGATTTTGGAACAAAAACAAATAAGCAAAAGAAGCATTCTCACAGGGAAATTCTGCTCTCTGCCCAACATTGTTTTTTGTGCTGCACAAATTCTTCCCTATTGTTCATACTCCATTAAATACACAAAGGCAAAACTGTATAGACCATTCTCTCTAAGGACAGTTACATTGAATTAGAAGTAAAATACAAAAGAAATAAAGCAAAATCAAACGTTCAAGCCCTCATATTTTTTCCTGAGTTAAGAATCCTAACTGCAGTTATTATTTTCAAAATAATGATTCTGAGAAAACTACATATTAAAATATAGAGGATGTGTCCAATGAGGTACTCTGAGAAAAATGGAGAGACTTATTCTGTGGTTTTGACATAGCCATTCTTTTACATGTTAGATGACCTATTGTGACCTATTGTGGAGTTAGGGAAAAACTTGAAGGATAGGCTTCTAAACAATTCTGTAAGTAATATAAAGGCTGCGGGGGGAGGGGGAATGGCAGTTAGGACTAGCAATCTTTTCTTTTAAATATGAGTCTTTTAATTAATCAAAAAATATTCCACATGGAATAATGTGTATGCAATATTGCATAAAAAACAGAAAGAATAACAGTTCTCCATTAATCAGAGACCTGAGAAATTGCTAAATTCACCATACTAGAAATTAGGTTGCTCTTTTATTTATTTATTTTTTATTTATTTATTTTTTTTTCAACGTTTATTTATTTTTGGGATAGAGAGAGACAGAGCATGAACGGGGGAGGGGCAGAGAGAGAGGGAGACACAGAATCGGAAACAGGCTCCAGGCTCTGAGCCATCAGCCCAGAGCCTGACGCGGGGCTCGAACTCACGGACCGCGAGATCGTGACCTGGCTGAAGTTGGACACTTAACCGACTGCGCCACCCAGGCGCCCCTAGGTTGCTCTTTTAAAGCTTTCTGCTAATTCTAGTTAAAAAGAAAAATAAATATCAACTAACAAAGTGGGAAATCGCAAATGACAGATGAGAAAGAGTTTCATCTAAACTAGAAAACTATCCATTACAAGCCTACAAGAATAAAACTGGCAAGTTCGGTGTAAATATGCAAAATAATAATTACAAATCAGTAATCAAATAATTTTAAGATTTCTCACACTCATTTGTAATTATATTTCGGCAAATTCAAACATTAACAATTTACAATTTTTCCTGCCAAATAAAAATATTTTTTAAAAATTCTGAGAATTTTCCATCATAGGATACTGACACTCTCATACATTTATAGTGATAATAAATAATATTATACTTTTCAGAGGCCCAAATGGTCAGATATATTAATATCTTTCAAGTATTCATCCTCATACTTATGATTATTATACTCCACCCAAGGAAATAATCAATGTTTGAGGTGAAGACATATGAACAAGTATATTCTTTATGAAATAGTGAAAAGAAGGAAATAAATTAAAATTATGGGAATTTAGTATTAATAAAATAATTTTCAGGCAACAGAGGATCACATATAGAGGCTAAATTAGAATTGTGGGTATTGCAATAGTTAATTTATATGTCAACTTGGCTAGGCTATAGTGCTCAGTTGTTTGGCCACACACCAGTCTAGATGCTACTATGAAGGTATTTTTTACATGTGATTAACATTTAAATGAGTAGACTATGAATAAAACAGATTACTTTCCATAATGTGGGTGGGCCATATCCAATCAACTGAAAGCCTTAAAAGACTAAGGGTTCCCAAACAAATTTGGCTTCAACATTGCAATATAGAATCCTTGCCTGAGCTTTCAGTCTGCCTGGCCTGCCCTTCAGATTTCTAACTACAGACTGTAACATTAATTCTTACCTGAATTTCTACCCTTTAGGATTGCTCTACAGATATAGGTCTTGCCAGCCCCCACCATCACAGGAGTCAAATCTCTCTCTCTCCCTCTCTTTGCTATTGGTTCTGTTTCTCTCGAATACCTGGTAGCACACTAAACAACAATGATAAACAAATGGAACCTAGACAAAAAAAAAAAAAAAATTATGGCACAATCACTTGCAGGCATTGGACAACAGGCAGTGCAGAAATTCAATCCTGAGCAAAGGCAGACTCACGAGCTGAACCGCATGAGGGCCCTGACTCTCAGCCTGAGGACATTTTCTTACCTAATGCAGTGAGCAGAAGAGGCAGAGATCAAGGTTGAGGCAGGGAATAGGACTATGAAGGATGGGTCATTGGGACACTGCTACTCCCCTTTGCCTCCCCCCACACACACACACACTCTTCCTCTTTCTCTCTCTCTCTCTCTCTCTCTCCTTCTCTCTCTCTCTCTCTCTCTCTCTCTCCCTCTCTCTCTCTCTCTCTCTCTCTCTCTCTCTCTCTCTCAGAAATAAACATTAAAGAAAGAAAATGAATCAGTAATCCAAACACTCCCCCCAACCCCCAAAAAACAGAAGTCCAGGACCAAATGGCTTCACAGGCAAATTCTACCAAACATTTAAAGAACAGTTAATATCCATTCTTAAACCATTCCAAAAAAAAAAAAAAAAAAAAAAAACAGAAGAGAAAGGAAAACTTTCAAAATCATTCTATGGGGCCAGTATCACTCTGATACCAAAACCAGAGAAGACACCAGGAAAAAAAAAAGAGAGAGAGAGAGAATGAACTCCAGGTCAGTATCTCTCATGAATATAGATGCAAAAAGCCTCAACAAAATATTAGCAAACTGAATCCAACAATATATTTTTTAAAAAATCATACACCACAGGGGCGCCTGGGTGGTTTGGTCGGTTAAGCGTCCGACTTCGGCTCAGGTCATGATCTCACGGTCCGTGAGTTCGAGCCCCGCATCGGGCTCTGTGCTGACAGCTCAGAGCCTGGAGCCTGTTTCAGATTCTGTGTCTCCCTCTCTCTCTGCCTCTCCCCTGTTCATGCTCTGTCTCTCTCTGTCTCAGAAATGAATAAAGGTTAAAAAAAATTTTTAAAAAAATCATACACCACAATCAAGTGGGACTTATTCCTGGGATGCAAGGGTATTTTAATAATCCCCAAACCATCAATGTGATATGTCACATCAATAAGAGAAAGAATAAAAACCATATAATCATTTAGATAGATGCAGAAAAAGCATTTGACCAACAACAACATCCGTTCATGATAAAAAACCCTCTGCAAAGTAGGTCTAGCAGGAATATATCTCAACATAATAAAGTACTTACATGAAAAGCCCACAGCCAATATCATACTCAATGGTGAAAAATTGAGAGCTTTTCACCTAAGGTCAGGAACAAGACAAGGATGTCCATTCTCACCACTATGTCTCATTTCAACATAGTACTAGGAAGTCCTAGCCACAGCAATTAGACAACGTAAAGAAATGAAAGGCATCCAAACTGGTAAGGAAAAAGTAAAACTTCCACTATCTGCAGATGGCATGCTATATATGGAAAACCCAAAAGACCCCACCAAAACACTACTAGGACTGATAAATGAATTCAGTAAAGTCACAGGATACATAATCAATGTACAGAAATCTGTTGCATTCCTATACACCAATCATGAAGTGGCAGAATGTAAAATTAAGAAAACAATGTCATTTACAATTGCACAAACAGTAAAATACCTGGGACTAAGCCTAACCAAAGAGGTAAAAGGCCTGTACTCTGAAAACTATAAAGCACTGATGAAATAAATTCAAGACAATGCAAAGAAATGGAAAGACATTCCATGTTCATGTGTTGACAGAACAAATATTGTTAAAATGTCTATACTATCCAAAGCAATCCAAACATGTAATGCAATCCCTAGCAAAATATCAACAGCATTTTCCACAGAGCTAGAACAAACAACCCTAAAATTTAGATGGAACCCCAAATAGCCAAAGAAATCTTGAAAAAGAAAAACAAATGGAGGTATCACAATTCCCTATTTCAAGTAATTAAAAGTTTGGTACTGGCAAAAATATAGACACATAGGTCAATAGAACAGAACAGAAAACTCAGGAATAAACCTACAATTACATGGTTAATTAATCTTTGACAAAGGAGGAATGAATATGCAATTGGAAAAAGACAGTCTCTTCAACAAATGGTGGTGAGAAAATGAACAGCCACATGCAAAAGAATGAAACTGGACCACTTTCTTTCACCATACACAAAAATAAACTTAATATGGATTAAAGACCCAAATGTGAGACCAGAAACTATAAAAATCCTTGAGGAGCACACAGGCAGTAATCTCCGACATTGGCTGTAGCAACATCTTTCTAGACATGTCTCCTGAGGCAAGGAAAATAAAAACAAAAATAAACATTGGGGATTACATCAAAATAAAGAGTTTCTGCACATAGTGAGAAACAACCAACAAAACTAAAAGGCCACCTACTGAAAGGAAGAAAATATTTGCAAATTACATATCCGATAAAGCATTAGAATACAAAATATATAACGAACGAATACAACTTGACACCCAAAAACCTAATAATCCACTTAAGAAATGGGCACAAGATACTTAAAGACATTTCTCCAAATTAGACAGACAGATGGCTAACAGACTTGAAAAGCTGAACGTCACTCATTGTCAGGGAAATGTAAATCAAAACTACTATGAAATATCACCTCATACCTGTCAGAATGGCTGCTATCAACAACACAAGAAACAAGTGTGGTAAGGACGTGAAGAAAAAGGAGCCCTCTCATACTGTTAGTGGGAATACAAACTGGTGCAGCATTGTGGAAAACAAAATGGAAGTTCCTCAAAAAGTTAAAATTAGAAGTACCCTAAGATTGAGGCATTGCATTACTGGGTATTTACCCAAAAAATACAAAAACACTAACTGAAAGGGATACATGCCAACCTATGTTTAGCAGCATTATTTACAATAGCCAAACCAGGAAGCAGCCCAAGTGCCCACTGATAGATGAATGGATAAGAAGATGAATATTATTCAGCTACAAAAAAGAATGAAATCTTGTCATATGCAACAACTTGGGTAGAGTTAGAGATTATAATGCTGAAGAAAATATGAGTCAGTCAGAGAAAGACAAATACCATTCGATCTCACTCCTATGTGGAATTTAAGAAACAAAACAAATGAGCAAAGAAAAAAAAAAGACAAACCAAGAAACAAACTCTTAACCATAGAGGACAAACATGCTTACCAGAGGGGAAATGGGTAGGAGGATGGGGAGAGTGGGGGATGGGGATTAAAGTGGGGATTAAAAACATTTATGGGGGGATAGGCTAAATGGGTGAAGGGTATTAAAGAGGGCACCTGTTGGGATGAGCACTGGATGTTATACGTAAGTGATGAATCATTTTTTTTCATGTTTACTTTTGAGAGAGAGAGACAGAGCATGAGCAGGGGAGGGGCAGAAAGAGGGGAAGACAGAGAATCTGAAGCAGGTTCCAGGCTCTGAGCTGTCAGCACAGAGCTCAACATGGGGCTCAGACCCATGAACCATGAGATCATGACCTGAGCTGAACTCAGACGCTTAATCGACTGAGGCACCCAGGTGCCCCATGAATCATTGAATTCTACTCCTGAAACCATTATTACACTATATGTTAACCAACTTGGATTTAAATAAAATGAAAAAAAAAACAGCCAAACCAAAATCAAACAACAACAACAAAACACTGCATCAGCTTGTACAATGTTATTAATATTTTCAAGAAAATGTTATTGTCACAAATCTCTCTTTTGTTCTTATTGAGGAGTGAATTTAACAAAATAATATGAAACCTGAAATTTCACTGCTTTTTCATTGCAAATATACATGTTTACTATGAAAATGAATACAGATAAATAATTAAAAAGTACACTTATAATGAAAAATGAATAACATTCAAAAAATAATAAATGTTGAAGCAGCTATAACAAACCTATTGAAAGAACTAAAGGAAGATATGGCTAAAGAACAAAACAAAAATATATTCAAAATTTAATGAATGAACAAATAGAGACTCCACAAAAAGAAAACTGTACATTTATACAAAAATGTTTTAAAAACTACATACATATATAATGCATAGAACTAATGGAAATTATAGAACTAAAAATTATAATAACAAAATGAAAAGCTCACTGAACGGCCTTAAGAGCTGTTTTGACATGATGAAGAAATAGTAAATCAAACTCAAGGACAGAATGATTCAATCTGAAACATGAAGAAAAATGAATAGAGTTTATCAGGGAATGGAAACACAACATCAAATGGTCTAACATGTTTGTAAAAAGAGTCCTAGAATTTTAAAAGAAGTTGGTGAAGGGCATAATGAGGTAAATAAAGGTTTGAAGAAATAATGGCTGAAAATTCCTAAATTTGATGAGAAACATTTATTTATATATCCAAGAATCTCAGAATACATCAAGAAGGATAAATGCACAAAATCCACACATAGCCACATTGAAGTCACAGTGGTTATAGCCAAAAGAAAGAGAAAATATTGACAGGATTCAGTGGAAAACAAGACATTATATAGGGATCAGTGATAAGAATAAATGCTGACTTCTCATCATAAATAATGGAAGCTAAAAGATATTGGAACAATTTTCAACTGCTAAAAGAATAGAGAAAAAGAAATCTCTACTGACAGTACCCTTCAAAAAGGAAGGATGAGATAAAGCTATTTTTTTTTATAAGAGTTGTTTTTAGATAAGTACCTGCAAACCCAAGTTATAAGATAATCTAAAGGATATTTGCCAGGTTTAAGGTGAATGATACCAAATGGAAACTCTGACCCATAGGAAGTAACAAAGACAATCAGAAATGGTAAATGAGAGTATAAATATAAACTATTTTTCTCTTAATTGTCTCAAGGTACCACTCACTGTAAAATACAAAAATAGTAACACTTTAAGGTGGGGATTATAATAATACAGGAGTAACATATATGACAACAATAACATAAATGAAGAAGAGTTAACAAATGCAAATATAATGTAGTAAAATGATTACATCCATGAAATAGGAACTGTCAAGTATAAAGTGAGAAGTGGAAAGTGTTGATATAAAAAGTGTTTAGAGTCAGGTGTTAATTGGTATAATATTGACTGTAAATAGACTTTAATAAGATAAGAATGCATATTTTTAGCCCTAGAGACAATATTTAGAACCATAAAAATTGTTATGGCTAAGAACCCAATAAAGAAATTAAAATGGTATGCCAGACGTAGTCAGTTAACCCAAAATAAAGAAGGAAAGGAGCAAGAGAGATACAAACACAAAAAGGAAACAGGGGAAACACAAAGAAAGATGGCAGACATAAACTCAACCATACCAATAATTACGTGTAAATGTCTTGTAAATGTTGACTAGATGTATCATTTACATGCAAATGTTAACTAAACCACAGTAATGAAAACACAAGGCTCAATATTTGCTGTCTACGAAGACCCAACTTCAAAATTAAGACAAATAGTTGGAAAGTAGTACAATAAAAAAGGTATAATATTATGTAAAGAATATGCCTATGAAAGCTGGTATGGTATATCAATGTCATACAATCAAGGCAAAGAGATATATGAAAGCTAAAGAAAATCTACATAATTATAAAAAGTACAAAAAAAAACAAAAAGAGGGGCACCTGGATGGTTCAGTTGGTTAAGAATCTGACTGTGGCTCAGGTCATGATCTCATGGTTCCTGAGTTTGAGCCCCATGTCAGGTTTTGTGCTGACAGCACAGCACCTGCTGCAGATCCTCTGTCCCCCTCTCTCTCTGTCCTTCCTCCACTTGCATTTTCTCTCTCTCAAAAATGAATGAGCAGGGGCGCCTGGGTGGCGCAGTCGGTTAAGCGTCCGACTTCAGCCAGGTCACGATCTCGCAATCCGTGAGTTCGAGCCCCGCGTCAGGCTCTGGGCTGATGGCTGGGAGCCTGGAGCCTGTTTCCGATTCTGTGTCTCCCTCTCTCTCTGCCCCTCCCCCGTTCATGCTCTGTCTCTCTCTGTCCCAAAAATAAATAAACGTTGAAAAAAAATTAAAAAAAAAAAATGAATGAGCATTAAAAAAAATAATAATGACCAAAAAGATGCAACAATCCTAAATGTGTATGCACCTATTAGCAGACTATGTTTTCTTTCTTTCTTTCTTTGTCTTTCTTTTTTTCTTTCTTTCTTTCTTTCTTTCTTTCTTTCTTTCTTTGTCTTTCTTTCTTTCTTTCTTTCTTTCTTTCTTTCTTTCTTTCTTTCTTTCTTTCTTTCCCTTTCTTCTTTCTTTCTTTTTTAATATGAAATTTATTGTCAAATTGGTTTCCATACAACACTCAGTGCTTATCCCTACAGGTGCCCTCCTCAATGACGATCACCCACTTTTTTTAAGAGTCTTTTGTGGTTTGGCTCCCTCCCTCTCTAACTTCTTTTTCTTTTTCTTCCCCTCCCCCATGGTCTTGTGTTAAATTTCTCAGGATTATGTTTTCTGACCATAATAAAAATTCTTAGAAACCATTAATAATGAACATAAATAAAATCACAAAATATTGAGAAATTTATTAATACTGATATGAAAATAAGTTTTCATAGAATAAACTACGACAATTAGAACAATCTTTAAATAATGGCAATGAAAAGGTAGCATATAAAAATTAATTTGATACAGTAAAAGCAAACCCTATTTTTAAATATTAGATTACATTCTTAGATTTAAAATCAATAGTGTAGGTTTCTCTATTAAAAGACTAAGAGGAAAAATAAACAAATTAAAACCAAGATTTAAAAAGGGAAGAATTCATAATGATCAGAGTATAAACTGATGAAATAGAAAACAGACTGGCAGAAGAAAAAAAAATCAACAGACTCCACAATTTTTTTAAAAGATTAATAATATTGATCAAAATCTAGGAGAAATAATCAAGAAAATAAGAGAGGAAAAAATACAAAATACAAATATTAAAAATAAAAAGAGGAATATTACTATAGGTCCTATAAATGTTATTAAGAGGATAATAAAGAATATTATTTAAAAATCTGAAAATTTTACAAAATGAAACAAATTCCTTAAAAAATGCAACTTGCCAAAATTAACACATGAAGCAATAGAAAATCAGAACAGCTTTATATCCATTAAAGAAATCATAATAAATAAATCTCACAAAGAAAACTCCAGACCCCGGTGGTTTACTCATTAATTTTACTACATAATTAAGGAAGATACATTATCAGTGTTACTCAAACATTTTTAGAAAATAGCGAAAGGGAGAGTGCTTTCCTAATCATTTTATGAAGCCAGTACAACACTAATACCAAAAGCTAATAAAGAATTTCTGGATTTTTTTTTTTGGAAATTTTAAATTAGACCACTATTAGTCATGATCATAAATTCAAAACTCCAGATCAAATATTAGCAAATGAAATCAAGACATATACATAAAATAATCTGAAATGATCAAATACAGTTATCTCTGTAATGCAAGGTTGGTTCAACATTTGGAAATGAAATATGTTTTGCCATGTTAACATATAAAGGAGGAAAATTGCATGATCCTCCTCACATCTCAGTTATCTCAGTAGAGACAGAAAAAAAAATCTGGAAAAATTCAACTCATTCATGGTAAAATGTCAGGAAGGAAAAAAAAAAACTTTGAGCAAACTAGAAATAAAAGGCATCTTTCTCAAATTAGTAAAGATATCTACAAAATACCTATAAATAATATATTTAATGGCGAAAAATAGAATAGTTTATTCAGAGTACCCGTAAGTAAACCATAAGCAGATGAATGGATAAAGAAATGGTGGTATATCCATACAACTAAATATTACTCTGCAGCAAAAAGAATGAACACATGTACACACACACACACACACACACACACACACACACACACAAATTCATCTCAAAAACAGAATCAGAACAAATGAAATCAGACATAAAGGAATACTTATAATATGGCTTGATTTATATGAAATAGAACCTGTAAAACTAATGTTTAACACTAATGTATAACTGATATACAAAACTAATGCATAGTTTCAGTTTTGTAAACCAGTAGTTGCCTGAAGCAAGTAGTTAGAGATGACTGTATGCAAAAGCCACAAGGGAACTTTCTGGATGGAAATGCTCTATATCTTGAATGGGCTATGCTTCACAAGTGCATAAATCTATCAGTACTCAAACTGTCAATTTCAATGAATTTTTAAAAAATACAAATTATACCTCAGTAAAGTTGCTTAAAATGTATAATATTAAAGAAAGCCTAAGGTACAGAACAACTCTTTCTGATCTATATTGTGGTAAGTTGTGACAGACTGATTGATCAATACATAGGTAGATAGGTAGGTAAGAGAGATATCAAAGAAACAGTGAAAAGCAATACATAATATTAGTTATGCTTTGGCAGGGATCTCAGGTAATTTTTGTCTTTGCAATTATAATGACAAATGCTATAATTTATAAACTTGCTAAAAATGAGCAAGTATTACATTTGCTGTACGTTTTTTAAAAAGGTTATGAAAAGGAAAAAATATCTAAAATATCTGATATATGGTAGATTTTCAGGATACATTTGGGACTTCCTTTCAGCTCTTTCTTTCCTTTTTTATCCTCTTTTACCACCTCACTCTACTTCCAGTCTCTTGTGCATTTACTGGCTTTCCTTTATTCACACTGTATTACACATTCCTCTATATCCAGATCTGATGATGTTTGATGAAAACTTTTTCCTCAGTTTAATTCAAGTCAGTACCAGAAATCTCCAAGGGACTAATTATCAAGTTTGCACAATACTGAAGCCAACACAGGCATACACAAACATAAGATCATAAGAAAATAGAATGTGACTCCAAAGTAATTGCACGTTTTCATTTCTCCAGACCTTGGTCAGCGAAGGTCACAGTTTTTTCACACACCTCCAGGAATATCAAAGTCAGCAAGCCTCCAGAGAAACTCTGGTTATGAACTCAGTGCTTAACTTACATTCCAGGGGCCCTCGCAGAAGCAGGCCCGAAAGAAAGCACTGTTTACACAAACTTGCAGTCATTGGCCAAATCTATCTGTTGTGTTCTCTTCTAGAGGCCAGCTGGGAAAGCTCCCTTTTTCTCAGCTGCCCTCTAATAAAGGAAAATCTTTGCAATCCTACCTTTGGCAATCCAGGAAACCAGTCCATCCATCGTATCAGACACTTCGGTCCCTAGGAGGTAAGAGACAACAATGGGCATGCTCATTGACCACAGTCACTGTTGGCTGATATGGAAAAGCAGCTAAAAATGCAACAGCAATAAAATACTTGCTTATTACTTTTAACTTCATGAAGTGGTTTTCACTTAAATTTTTATAACCCTCCCCTCAGGAGGATATTGCACAAAGATTAGAAAGCATGTTGCCTTTATTTGCAGACACATGATGGTTTAGATTTAAAATCCTAAAGGACCCATCAGAAAGAAACTGCCAGAATTACGGGACACCTGGGTGGCTCAGTTGGTCAAGGTCTCACGGTTCACGAGTTTGAGCCGCGCATCAGGCTCTGTGCTAACAGTACAGAGTCTGCTTGGGATTCTCTCCCTCTCTTTCTTGCCTTTCCCCTTCACTTTCTCTCTCTTTCTCTCAAAATAAATAAATAAACATTAAAAAAAAAAGCCAGCATTATCATTGAAATGCCAAAAGTTACAATGTCAGTGTAGTCAGATTAACTGTATTTCCATAGACTAACAACAAACAATTGGAAAATATAATAAAAATGCCACTTTTTAAGGTGTAAGAAAACTGAAATTCTTATTGAGGAATGAATTTAATAAAAAAGGTAAAATATTTGCACACCAAAAGCCAGAAAACATTGCCAGAGAAATTAAAGAAGACCTAAATAAATGGAGAAACATATCAAATGCATGGAACAGAAGACTAAATATTTTTAAGGTTCTCTCCACAATGATCTAAAGCATGTATTCTCAACAGGGGCAGAATCACCCACAAATAGATAAAAATTGCCTCCTGGAGGGGCGCCTGGGTGGCGCAGTCGGTTAAGCGTCCGACTTCAGCCAGGTCATGATCTCGCGGTCCGTGAGTTCGAGCCCCGCGTCAGGCTCTGGGCTCATGGCTCATGGCTCAGAGCCAGGAGCCTGTTTCCGATTCTGTGTCTCCCTCTCTCTCTGCCCCTCCCCCGTTCATGCTCTGTCTCTCTCTATCCCAAAAATAAATAAACGTTGAAAAAAAAAATTAAAAAAAAAAATTGCTTCCTGGAGGGAAAAATATTCTTACATATACAATGGCTTATTACCTTCCAAAGCTCAACCCTATCTAATAGAATCTTATTATTTATATATAATATTTCTTATTTGAGAAAATTTAAGTAGATTTCTTTTTTCTCCTTGTGTTTGGGAGGGTAAGAATAAAAAAAAAAAAGGTTGAGAAACAGTGATCTAAAAATTCAAGAGAGGGGTGACTGGTGACTGGCTAGTTCAGTCAGAAGAGTATGCAACTCTTGATCTCAAAAGTCCTAAAATTGAGCCCCACGTTAAATGTAGAGATTACTTAAATAAATAAAACTAAAAAAATAAAATAAAATAAAAATTCAAGACAGTCCTAATCAAAACACCAACAAGTTTTTAATAAATTGACAAGATAACTCTAAAGCTTATACGGAAATTCAAAGACCTTAGAATAGTTAATAATTCTGTGAAAGAATAAAAGACTAAGGACAGGGTTGTGTTGGATTAAGATTAAAAATATAGACTAAAAGAACATATTAGAGAAATAAATTCACAAAAATAAGGCCAAATGATTTTTGATGAAGCTCTCAAAGTAGTTCCATGAGGATGGTTAGTTTTTAAAGAATGGTGCTGAAATTACTAGGTATCTTTATGAAAAAAAAAACAAACAAAAAAAACAAGTTGACCTGTACATGACATAAACAATAAGTAATTTGAGATTTATAATATAAATAAACATAAAAGCTAAAGCAATCAAAATTTTAGAAAAAAACATCGGTGACTATTTTTGTGAGCAGGGAGTAGGTAATGATTTTTGGAATGGACAAAAATGCCTAAATACCCATGAAAAAAAAGTCAATGAATTAAACATTAAAATTAAATAGTCTCTTCAAAGACACCATTAAGAAAACATAGGCAAACCACAGATTTGGAGAAAATATTCTCAATACATACATTTGACATCCACCCACCATTACACCCACTCATATGTATGTGTATGTGTGTACATACATACTTATGTGTATATACGAGCTTTATGTATGTGTGCACATATGTGTGCAGACACAAGAGTGTAGAAAGCACTCCAATACAAAAATAAAAATATCCAGTATCCAATTAAATAGGAGAAAACTTGAACAGACAAATATATGTCCCCAAAAGGTACGTGAGAAGATGTTTAACAGGAGTCGCCAAAGAAATAAACCACAATGTGATACCACCACACATTCACCAGAGTGCTTGCTACAGCTGACAATTCAGTTGTTGGCAAAGATGTGAAGCAATTGTTATGTTCATGTATTATTGGTTGAAATGTCAAATGGTACAAATGTTTTGCAAAACAATGTGTTTCTCATAAAGTTTAACATACGCTTACTATATAATCCATCAGTACCATTTTTAGGAACTTTCCCAAAAGAAATGAGAACATATTCGCAGAAAGACTGGTATAAGTATGTCCATATATACATTTTTTAAGTTTATTTATTTATTTAGAGAGGGAGCGTGAGCAAGCAGGGGAGAAGCAGAGAGACAGGGAGACAGGGAATCCCAAGCAGACTCTGTGCTCTTTAGGCACAGAGCCTGAAAACTGCATGTCTGTGAACAACAGAATGGATTCAAAAATAATACAGCATATTCAAAAAAGGAATTCAGCAGTAAAAGAAAACAAATGACTACTACATAAAACAGCATTATGCCGAGTGAAAGAACCTAGAGACAAAGAGTACACATTGGATAATTATCTTTCTATGACATTCAAGAACAAGAAAAACTACGGTGATAAAGATCAGAACAATGGTTTTCTCTGGGAGATAGAACTGACAGAAAAAAACATGTTCTGATGATGACAGGGATAGATACATTTGAAGCAACATATTGAATTGTACATTTAAAATCGGTCTTTTATTTTACGTAAGTTATACTTCAATTAAAAATAAAACATAAGGAGAAAAGGACAGAAATAGAAGCTATATATCAAAATCTACCAGAAAGATATAAACAAAGGAAAAACAAATGGACAAGGCTGAGGCAAAGGGTTTAGGAAGCTACACTTGCATGATAAGATTAAAGCAATGCCAGGAAGTGATTGCTGAAACTTAGAAGAATATTTGCTTCAGGGGAATGGAAGAGATTTTGCTGGGAACGAGGCATTGTGAGCAGCTTCTAATGTGTCAGGCAATATTTCTTGACCTGATCGGTCAGGTGTTAATAAAGATGTTGGCCTCATAATAATTAATTAGCTGTACATTTATTTTATAGCAATTATCTGTATCTTTATTTTATTTTACAAGTAAGGGGTTAAAGAAGTCTTAAAATAAATAAAAGGACTTCGCTTTTCATAACATGTTTGAAGAAGACCCAAAGAGTGTAAGATTTAAGTTGAGATATGCCGAGTGAGAAGGAGCAGGCTCTGTGAAGAGTATGGAAAGACAGAGTTAATGTAGGTGGGAAACCTGAAAACAGGTCCCTGTAACAGCAGCATGATGGACTTGGAACACAGAGTCGTGAAGTTACATTGGTGACGAAAGCACGAGCCACAGCATGCCGGACTTAGAGGCTAAAATAAGGAGCTTGAGTTTTATTCTACATGAAGAAAGAAATTCTTAAAGAGTTGAGGTGCACAAAAACACTTCCACTGACATTTATAGGACACTGCTATGGTTTCTGTGTTAGAGGACAAGAATGAAATTAGCAAGAAAAGTTAGGATGATAAAATCTAGATCGGGTTAGAGACGCAGGACCTGGCTTTGGGCGGTGACAGTGGATGGAGATAGAAGTGAATGGCTTAGCGGGTAACAAGAAGGGAGACACTAATGCTACTGGATTGGTTCCCACCAGGACTGACTGAGTAGGTAAAAATGTCACACAATGAAATGGTAGTAGTTTAATACAGGGAAAAGCTTTGGGGAGGAAAATTCATAGCTAATTTTAGGGGTTTGCAAATCAACGCTCCTACCAAAAACCTGAAAGCTCAAGTCCACTCCCTGCTACCCCATCCCTCACTGTGACAAGAGCTCATCTGCCTAACTATTAACCCTCACTTCCCAGACTAACTTTTGTTCCAGCCACACTATCCTTGTTCCTTCTCCTTCCTGTCACCTACACTAACATTGGTCCCCTTAAAATACACTTTCTTTTTCCAGTAGAGAAGAACTTTCTCTACCATACACACATGATTAAATTTTTATTCATCTGCTAAAGGCCCACCTCAAACTTTACTATTTTCTTAAAAGCTTACTAGGAGAATTCTTTTCTGTATAAGGTGCAAAACTTGAGAAAATCCATGTGCTTGAAGTTACCTGGTATAATATGTACCGATTCAATTCACCAAATATATGTTGATCACCTATTATGTTCCAGAGTTAAATATTAGGACTAGAAAAACTAATAATCAATGGTGCTCTGTTTCATATACTCTCAGCTTACTTGGAGGATAGCATTTGAACAGGAAATTAAAATAGATGTGGTAAATGTCATAATGTAATGAGCAAAATGTTAGAAGAATGCAAATGAAGGATAATATTATTCTGCTCAATGGGGCTTACCTTAAAAAGTCACCTTTGATCTGACCCATGTAGTAGTCATTTTATTGAGTATTATTAAAAATTAAATATATCCACGAACTGAATTTCTCTCCATGCCTTCAGGCTTTGCAACATGCGGTCACTGTTTTTACCTTACACACACCTTGCTCAGGCACACTGTGAGTCTCGGGAAGCTTGTTGGAGCCACAAACAAACCCTCCTACACTCAATCATTCCCCTCTTATTTGTCTCAGAGAAAAATACCTGGATGGGAAGAATCCTCAGTGTGCTTCAGCCCTGCAAACATCACTGCTCTTCGTGGTTTCCTAGTTTCTTCACCTGGAAAACAAGAGGAATAAACTAAATCTGTGCTATCCTTTTTTGGCATCAAACTCCAGTAAAATGGTGGATATGAAAACTGTATTATAAGAAATATAGGTAAATATTTATTAGAGGGAATTAGTTTCAAAAAAGGTATAAAGTTATAAATAGGAATTCTGGTTTCTAGTTCCACGCATAAGGAGCTTAGACGTTATCACTCCATCCTAACAACAAGTATAAAGCTGAACAGACTGAATAATGCTTCTTGGATCCACCAGAGAGGGGAAGACACAGGTCAAACCACCAGCAAGACATGGGGTACCTCAGCAGAGCCTCAGCAGCAAAAACCACTGCAGAAACCAGTGCCACAATGGGAAAATCTGAACTGTAATTGACAAATGCTGGAGGCTCAGTACAGACAAAACTGAGAGTTTAAAACTCTGGGAGGAAATTGTCATAGGAGAACCACCACAATATTGTGAGATTTATCTCCAGGAGGTCAAACACATTTACAAAATAAACATCAGAGGAAAATCCCTTCCAGCTTCTGGCAGTGGGAGGGGAAAGAAACCATATTAAAATACAGCAGATCACTCTGTTTTTCTTTACAAGGCCTGCCTTCAGGGGAAACTAGTCAACTAGAACCTGAAATGCTGCATTACTCTCAGAGTCTAACTAACCAGGAAAGGGAAATACCCAACTCCAACCCATTCTACCCAATCTTTTCCAACTTAAAAAAAAATGCTAGAAATAAAAAACACTATAATAAAAATGAAGAATTCTTTTGATGATCATATTAGCATACTAGACACAGTTGAGGAAAGAATCTCTGAGCTAGAGAATATATTAATAGAATCCTCAAAACCTGAAAAGCAATGAGAAAAAACACTAAAAGAATATCCAAGGACTGTAGTACAATTATAAAACGTGTAACATACACAGAATGAAAATACAAGAAAAAGAGAAAGAAAAGAACAGAAGAAATATTTGAAATAATAACTGAGAATTTCATCAAATTAATGCCAGACACCTACCTCAGATTCATGAGGCTCAGATAATAGTGAGAAAAAAATGCCAAAAAAAAAAAAAAAAAAGGCTACATGTAGGCATAGAATTTTTAAACTACAGAAAATCAAAGAAAAAGACAAAATCCTAAAGGATTCCACTGGGAAAAAAAGCACCTTATCTATAAAGGAAGATAAAAATTATACCTGATATCTGATTTCTCCTCAGAAACCATGCAATAGGAAAGAGCAGAATAAAATATTTAGAGTGTTGAGAGGGGCGCCTGGGTGGCACAGTCGGTTACGCGTCCGACTTCAGCCAGGTCACGATCTCGCGGTCCGTGAGTTCGAGCCCCGCGTCAGGCTCTGGGCTGATGGCTCAGAGCCTGGAGCCTGTTTCCGATTCTGTGTCTCCCTCTCTCTCTGCCCCTCCCCCGTTCATGCTCTGTTTCTCTCTGTCCCAAAAATAAATAAACGTTGAAAAAAAATTAAAAAAAAAAATAAAGTGTTGAGAGAAAAATACCCATTAACCTAGAATTCTATATTCTGCAACATTATCCTTCAAAATTAAAAGATAAATACTTTCTCAGATAAATAAAAAATGAGGAAATTTATTTCTTTGAAAGAATGCTAAAAGAAGTTCTTTAGAGGGAAAGAATATGGGTCAGAAACTCAGATACCCATAAAGAATGGGGGACTAGTGAAAAAGGAACAAGTAAAACAACAACCAAAAAAAAACTTTTTTCTTACTAATGATCTAATAAATAACAGTTTGTTCAAAATAATACCAACATAATTTTAGATTATGTGTACACATGCATATATCATATATATTTATTTATATATACACACATATATACTTACAACTAAGGAAATGAATTGCAGCAATGATACGAGAAATGGAAAGAAAGAATTAGGATTATTTTGTTATTGTAAGGTATCCATAATACTTGTACAGTGGTATAGTGGTAACTGAAAGTGGACTTGATTAGTTGTGTATGTATATTGCAAACTCAAGGTCAATCACTAAAAAAGGAAAAATAAAGTATTATTGATATTCTAAGAAAGGAGAGACAATGAAATTATATATGTTCAATTAAAACCACAAAGGCAGAAAAAAGAAGAGACAAAAATAACAAAGAACAAGGACAAATAACAGAGAACAGTAAATATGGTAAATATTAATCCAACTAGATCAATAATGCCAATTGAATGCCAATGCTCTAAATGCACCAATTAAAAGACAGATGTCAGGGTAGATTAAAAAACAAGACAGAACTACATGTTGCTTATATGAAACTTGCTTTAAATATAAAGAAATATATAGATCTTTAAATATAAAGAAATATATAGTTTATATAAAGAAATATAAACGAAGAAAAATATACCATGGTAACACTAATTAAAACAAAGCAGAAGTAGCTATATTGATTTCAGACCGAGCAGGAATCAAACCAAGGAAAATTATCAGGTATATACTTACTGATAAAAGGGTCAACTCTCCAGGAAGACATAATTCTTAAAGGGCATGAACCTAACAAGAGAGCATCAAACTGTGTGAGGCAAAAAAATTGATAGAACTGTGAGGAGAAATAGATGAATCCATTCTCAGTGTTGGTGACCTTAACATTCCTCTATCAGAAATGAACAGGATCATGAAGTAAAAAATCAGTAAGGATATATTTGAACTCCACACCACCATCACTCAACTGGATGTAATGAACATCTGTAGACTAATCAGCCCAACAACAGCAGAGTAAACAGTTTACTCAAGCTCACATAGAACATTCAGCAATACAGACCACATCCTGGGCCATAAAACACCCCTTAACAAATTTAAAACTATAGAAATCATACAATGTCTGTCTGATCTTAGACCACAAGAAAAGTAAACTAGAAATCAGTAACAGAAGAAGACTGAAAAATCTTAAAATGCATGGGCTACTTCTAACTAACACATAGATCAAATAAGAATCTCAAGAGAAACTTAAAATATTTTGAACTAAATGAAAATGAAAATACAACTTATTAAAATTTGTGGAATGTAGCCAAAGCAGTGCTTAGAGGGAAATTTACAGCATTGAATGCATATGTTAGAAAAGAAGAAATTTTTCAAATCAGTCATCTAAATTTCTGCCTTCAGAAACTAGAAAAAGAAGATCAACTTAAAACCAAAATAAGCAGAAGAAAAGAAATAATAAAAATTAGAAAAGAAATAAGTGAAACAGAAAATAGGAAATCAGTAGAGGAAATCAATGAAACCAAATACTAATTTTTTGAAGAGACTAATAAGGTTGATAAGCTATCTAGCCAAGATAACTAAGAAAAAAGAGGACACAAATTACTTATATCAGAAATGACAAAAGGGCTATCACTAAAGTTCCCATGGAAATTAGAAAGATAACAAAAAATAGTGTGAATAACTATAAGCCAACAAATTTGATAATCTAGATAGATTAATTCCTTGAAAGGCATAATTTGACAAAGAGCATATAAAAAGAAATAAGGCAATCTGATTGGGTCTTAAATCTATTACAGAAATTGAAACAGTAATTAATAATCTTCCAAAACAGAAAGTATGAGGCCCAGGTGGGTTCACTGGTGAATTTTACCAAATATGTAAGGAAGAGATTTTATCAATTCTCTACTATCTCTTTCAGAGGATAGAAACAGAGGGAATACTTTCTAACTCATTTTATGAGGCTATTATAATCCTCATAACAAGACCAAAGACATTATGAGAAAAGAAGACTATAGACCAAGATCTCTCATGAACATAGATGCAAAAATCCTCAACAACAGCAAGTCAAATCCAAAAAGTATAGAAATAATTGTAATCCATAACCAAGCAGAATTTAATCTGGGTTTGCAAGATTAGTTCAATATGTAAAAATTCAATTAATAGTAATTCATCACATCAATAGTCTAAAAAAGAAAAAAAAACCATTTAAATCAGCCTCCAAGGAAATAGAAAGCTTGAACAGACCCATAACCAGCGAAGAAATTGAA